TCAACTAGTCTATTTTTATGAGATTATATATTACCTACAAACACAACTGAGATTATGATGATAACACAGGATTGGACAAGGTCTCATTCAACTTTACCAAAAGTCACTGTAGAATTGGAGCCAGTTGCATGGCACCTTATTGTCATTGTTGTTAGGTCATCATCAATTGTTCATATTCAAGTTGAGGCTGAAGAAAATGAAAATAAGTCCACAGGAAACAAGATATGATTTTTTTCTTTTTTTATTAATTTTAATAAACATTTACAGAGGTTTTGGATTTCCATTCATTCATTGCCACACTTTTCTCCCTGCCCACCCCTCCCCACCAGTTCACTCCCCTCTCCAAAAAGAAAAAGAAGGAAAAAAAATCCTTCATTGGTATACAATTCCCCCATCCCTTTCCCCCCACTCCCCACCCCTAGTACACTTCTCTATGCAACCTTAATTCTGGATTCCTGTTCTAACCATAATACTCAATCACATATCACCTCTAATCTGTTCTTTCCCTCATCTGTTTCAATACAATATACATAATTTATCCAGTTTTTTTCTGTCAGCCCCATTCTACAACAGTGGCACCATGCAGTATTTGTCCCTTTGTGACTGAGAATCAATTCCATCTGCCTTTCATGATCATCTTAAGAATAGGTTTGAAGAATTAAATACTAGTTATATAAGACCAGATGAGTGTGGAATAGTATCAAGGATATCATCCATGAAGAAAGCAAAAAGTCATTACAAAAAGAGAAGAAAGGAAAAAGAAAACCTAAGTGAATGTCAAAGGAGACTCTAAAGAGTGCACTGGAATGTCAAGAAGCCAAATCTAAAGGAAAACACATTGATTATTTCAAAGGGCAGCTTGGGAGGACAAAGCAAATTATAATGGAATGGAATGTGCAGAGAGCTGAAATTGGAGAATGAAAAGTAAATAACTCATTCTGCATTTCTCAAGCTGAAAACACTGAAAAACAAATTTAAGCCTCATGTCAAATTTTGGAAGATGAAATAAGCAACATATTGAATGACCCAGAAAGCATCAAAAGAAGATGGAGGGATTGCACCTTGCAATAGAATGTATTAATAATTCCTAAATTTACATTTTCACCTTAGACTTTTCTTTTAAATGGCTAACTCAAATCTGCAACTCTCTGTTCAACACAATGTTTGGATATCTAACAACCATCTCTAATATTTAATATTTCACATCTAACAAACTGTTGTTACAGCCCAAACAGACAGTACTGTAAGAATATCACACCTAATCTTGGATCTCATTACAAACACAGTACTTTGCAAAGCTCCTTAAAGGAATTTCTATGTAGTTCAAATAGCGTTTGGGCACTAACCAGACTAATCAAAAAAGGTTGGAAGTTTAAGTGTATTGAGAGAGGTCTTAGGAAAAGGGCTCGATGAGTTACAAAGAAGCAAAAGAAGTTAGCAAAGAAGCCATTGAAAATTTTACTCTGAAACATGTAAGGTCACCATGAATTGGAATTGACTGGATGGCAATTTTTCTTTTAAATTTTCTCTTCTACTGTCGGATATTTTGTTTATGGATTCACTTTTTTGCGGGTTCGCATAAATGTTAATGGAACAAGTGAATTTTCAGTTTCTGAAGTAACTACCATGCTACAATGATCACTTCAAGAGCCATTGCAGGTCAGGAGAGGGGCAGGACCATTTAACTCTTACACCCACCCAGTCAGTCACTCTGTAATACTGGGGACACTGAAACTACTTTCAACACTATCTAAATGCTCTAAAAATCCCCTAGAACAATGTCTACTTTTCAAAGGACTCCAATGTCTCTGGAATGTGACATTTTTTCTGTTGTTTCATTTTACTGTTTTTAATTACTGAGTCTATTTGCATGGAATAAGCATCCGGGTTGCCTAGGAGTTCATCTGCTACTATTGCATATTCCTCTCTTAAACAAGTACACAGTTTTGCTTGCTGCCTTTAACGTTTTGGCAAGATCTCTCTCTTCTCTTTGTAGGGCCTCCTCATCAATCTCTAGGAAGAAAAGTTATTTTTATATTCTATAATTGATAGGCTTTGAGAAATAATCAAACTAAGGAGGTCATAAGATTATGAATAGGCAATAGGAGTTGTTGAGAGAAGGGATGGATGACAATAGGCCATTCCAACAATTGTCTTAGGAGGGAAAGGGAACCTGCAACTCCCATGTAAAGTGCTTTGGGACTTTATTTGAACAGGTTTTTATCTTAGAAATATTTCTTAATTTGGTTTATGTCATCATTTCAAGAAAAGGGGGCTTTTAGAGAAAAACAGAAGTAAATCTCCCAAAAGGAATTGTTGCTGTCATGTTATGTGCTCTTGAGTCGCCTGCAATCCATAGCAATCTTATGTACAGTATCTCTGAAGCCTGCCCTGTTCTGAGCCAGTCTCACTGATTCTGACATACCTTCCCCATTTCCCCCAGTTACTGTATCAATTCATCTCATCTGGGATCTTCCTCTCCTACACTGTCCCTCCACCCTTCTGAGCATGATGTCCTTCACCTAGGATCAGTCCCTCCTGGCCACATAACCAAAAGTATGGGAGATGGATCTTTAAAATCCCAGCATCCAAGGAGGAACTTGGATTCACCCTCTCCAAAACAAACCTATTTGTTTTCTTGGTGGTCCATGAGACTCTTCTCCAGCATCCATAAGACTGTTCTTCTCCAGGCTAATTTATAAGACTCTTCTCTAGCACCACAAGTCAAAGGCATTGATTTCTTCTTCTGCCGTCCTTAGTCATTGTCCAGCTCTTTGATGCATAGCAAGTAATTGTGAAGACCATGGCCTGGATTAGGCTCACCTTATTCTCTAGACTGACATCATTGCTTTTCAGTAATCTGGAGAGGTCAGTGACAACAGATTTACCTAAAGCAATTTGCCTTTTAATTTCTTGACTGCTGGTGCCAAAAGTGTTGATTGAGGATCCGAGCAAGCTGTAACTGTTAACGACCTCAATCTCTTCTCCATCCATCATGGTACTGCCAGTTGGCCCAGTCGTGACAATCTTAGTCTTTGTGATTTTAAGCTTCAATCTGTATTGAAGACTACAGTCCTTGGCCTTCTGCAGTAAGTGATTCAGGTCCTCCTCAGTTTCAGTAAGCAAGAAGGATTATATGTTAAGTAAAACAATAGATTCAAATGTCCCAAGCCAAAGAGATAAGCAATAAATAAATGTTCTTCAAAAAAGGGGGGAAAACCGCTGGGTTGGAGCCAAGGTCATTCTTCTCTGGTACAAGAGAGAAAAATAAATCATTAAAATAAAGTAAGATCATTGTTGACTTTTTAGGCCAAATCATGTTACATTAAACCAAACATGATGTGAGAGTTCTGACACTGTCTTTGATCTCTTGCCCCTCTGGTGTTTTGAATCTACCAGTGGCTCCGTAGGAGAAAGATGGATATTCTCTTCCCGTGTGATTTACAGCCTCTAAAAAGCCCCTGGAAGGTCCACTATGACTTAGCTCCAACTTGACAGTAGTGAGTGTATTTTCATTCTTTTGGTCATGTTATTCTTGTATACCATTGAGTCTGAACTGACCAATAGCTGACCCTCCAGTGAATTTTCAGAGGCACCTGAGGAGATTGACCATCTTTCTCCAGGAGAGCAGTTGGCGGATTTGAGCTGTATAACTTTGCCTTGGTAGTGTCATTCCTTACCATTTAATTGACTTTACCCATTGAGACTCTACAAGAATAAGTAGTCTGTAGAGTGTTGTCCTGCTAACTTAAAGGCTACATCTCTGAAGGTTCGAATCTGCCAGTGGCTTGGTGTGATAGAAATAGGCAGTTCCCTTCTAGAAATCCTTCTATAAATAGGATTTATACCCTCAGAAATCCGATGGAAGCTGACAATGAGTTGGAACTAGCTAATGACAGTGAGTGAGTGAGTGAGTGAACTGATGATTACAAATTAATATATTATGCAAATGTCAAAAAGCTTGCATTGGGCATGCATATTGAGGGGTAGATTGTGTGTTAGCATTTTCTATTTGTCGTCAGTTATTAGCATATGATACACAGTGAGAAGACCCACCTCCAAGACTAATATCAAAATTCCTCTTTAGGGAATTCTTTGGCTGAAAAAACTTACTGGCTGCATTAATCACAAATAAAATACCATGACTTATTGTTACAATTAGAATATGTTCTCAGTGGTGACATAAAGATCTGTGCCCTGTGCAGACGCAGTTAGAGCTGACAACAGAAGGCATAAGTCCACTCCGAACAAAAGAACAGTTATTCTCACATTCTGTGGCTGATGTCGAGTGATAACATTTCTGCATATCCTAAAAATTTTTATGCATATGCTGCTTACAGAAAAAAAGAGAAAAAACCTCTAGCCCTTCCCAACTTTTACAATGATTTTCTTTGTGAATGGAATTTAAGCTCCTGGCATATGTTGTCTTTTCAATATGCTTGTTAAATTCTGTATAACAACCTGTGAGCTTATATGAGCAGAAACCAAACCAGAGTCTGATTCCTCTGCTCAAAGCCACATTGTTTGTCATCTCTTCTTTCTTTTAAAAAATTATATTCAGACATTTTAAAACCCAATCAAATTAATATTTGTACCAACTTTCTATCCTACACTTTTCCAAAAATAGACTAATTTTCACATAGGGGATGTAGTGACCCATTGGGGGAATTCTTACATGCCACGCAGGAGACCTAGATTCCATTTCCAACCAATGTATCTCTCAGACACAACCTTCCATCTGGCTGTCAGTGGAGGCTGGTGTATTGCTATGATGTTGAACTGGTTTCAGCAGAACCTCCAGATTGAGATGGACTGGGGAGAAAGGCTTGACACTCTATTTCTAAAAATGAGCTGAAGAAATCTTATGGATCCCAGTGACAGGATCCTCATCTAGTCATAGGGCTGGCGCAGGACCTGATGGCATTTTAAACTGCTATTCCTGGAGTCGATTCAAGTTGGGAGCTTACTCTATCACAGTTGATAACAACAACAGTATCACTATGGCAAATTGCAGAGCTTTGTCTTGGAGTAAAGAAACCTATGAGGGACGGATAGTAGATTGCAGCGGTAAGGATCTGTCAGTTAATTTATTTTCCTAACCTTGCCATAGTATGAACACATTTTAAAACGTTAATATGTCTTTATAAAACCTAGAACAAACCTAAAACACAAGATGAGGTTATGAGTTGGTGGTTAAGGATTAAACAGAGGATGTAGTTCTTGTCTCAGAAATAATTATAAAGAATCTGTTTCTGTACCATCAAAGCAAATGATGGATTAAGAAATTTAGAGAATACAAATATAAAAGAACTAAGAACAATCAGTCTTCAAGCATTTCTTGGGAGACTCTGATGCTGGGCATCTGTGAAAAGAATTCTCTATTTTTTATGTAGCTAATTTGATTATTATAATAATCAAAACAGTATATGCATGTGAAGATTGGGTTATTGACAATCCAATTTATCACAGATGAAGTAATCAAGCATGCTGTACATGTACTCATTGTAATATAATTTTGTTTCCTTTTTTTTGGTTGATGTTCTTTTGATTTGTGCTGACAATTTCGTAACTGTTGCATTTTGCTAATCTGTGAAGGCAGTGGAGCAGAGAAGCCCAGCATGTGTTGTATAAGATGCCACAGTGTCATAGTTTTAATAAATAATACACATTTGGCATGTTTCTTGAAAAGGCATTTTACTGACTGCACAAAAAGAATCTTGTGATAAAAAGAAGTAACTCGAACCTCGGTGCCAGGAGTTAAAGAATTGCCTTCTTTTTCTTTCTTGCACAGTGCAAATCCAAGTGGAGGAAAAAGAAGATGACTCTGAGGAAAGCTCAAGTAAGTGGAGATGGGCTTCTGGGGCCCAGTTCTACAACTGTGCTTCTGTGGAGCACTGTCATATTACCCAATAAACAAGGTAACGGCGGCCTTTCTTGTGCTTGCTGAGTAATCTCAGGGGACCACTTCATACATTTTTCACTGCGCCAAAGACGTGGTAAAACCCATGTGAATTTGCTCAGTACAGATTGATATGTAAACATAAGAAAATCCGTGCTTACCAGGTCAATTGGGTAATCTGTGCCTGTAATGGGACAGAAATGAAGTAACGGGATACATCGTTTTAATTTATGGAGTGTGTGTGAATAGTTGATGGTGTCAGAAAATAGATTAATTCTGTAAATGGAATGTTTACTCTAGATTCCTTTCAATTTGACATGCACACATATCACCAAATTCATCAGTGGCTGACGATCAATAGATAGTAGACCAGAATAACTGTTTTCAGAATGCTCGTCTCCTCTTCCTACTGATAATGTTGTGACCAATAATAAATAAGTTTTTAGAATGCTAGAATTAGGCTCAAATAATAAAATATTAGACTCAATATTTTACACCTAGAAACTTGTTATTAGTTCTGATGAGAAAGGGTCATTTACACTGGCAAGAAAAGTAATCTTCCTGTTTCTCCCTTTATCCCAAACTTAGCAGCAAATTTGATTTTATATGTAAATGAAAATGTTTTTATAAATAATATTGAAAGAACATTTCTGAAAAAGAGAAAAACAAAACTCATATATATGGCAAAAATTCATGCTTAATTCATTAATTAATAAACTAATGAGGTATTATGGTAAGTTTAAAGGAAAATGAAAAGAACTCCCTGTATATATTCATAGATCAGAAACATTGAAATGACACAAATGTAGGCATTTAGATTTGGTTTGTTTTTGAAGGGAAGCTCTATTGATCCCCACAGGGCCAAATTAATTTGTGTGCTTATGTACAGTGGTAAAAGAGCTCCGACAGAATCAGAATCGGGTATCATACACAAGTAAGCTACAGGTAATGAACAGCTTTTCAAACCAAACCAAACCAATCTCATGGAGTCCATTATGACTCATAGCAATACTGTAGGATAGAGTAGAACTGCCCCATAGGATTTCCTAGTTTTCAAATCTTTATAAAAGCAGAGCATCATATCTATCTCCCAGGAACAGATATTCTAACCATTATGCTTTTAGTTTGCAACCAAACTTTTGATTAGCAGCTGAATGTTTTAACCATCAGGCCACAGGGATTTCTGTTTCCCTTCTCTTTAAGAGCATAGTGATAACTATGAACAATATGTTATTTTTTAATAATTGTTTATTTTAAAGGACAAAAAGAGCACAAGAAGAACAAATCCATTGCTGTTGAATGGACTCATAGTGACCTTGCAGGACACAGTAGAACTGCCTCAGAGGGTTTCCAAGGCCATAATCACCACCATCAAGTTTCATCTAGAAAAATCCTTGCTTCTGACCAATAGGTGGTTGGTTAGCGAGATGATTGGTTAACGATTTTGTTTTGTTAGGTCCATAATAAATATCCTTGTAGCAGCAGTCAAGAAATCAAAAATGTATAGCATTGGGGAAGTCTAAAGTTGAGGACCTCTCCAAGGTACTGAAGAGCAGCAATATCACTCGAGGACTAAGGTGTGCCTGATCCAACCCATGGTCTTTTCAGTTGTTTTTTATGCATCAGACAGCTGGACATTGGCCAAGGATGACAGTAGAAGAGTCAAGGCCTTTGAGTTATGGTGTTGAAGAACAGTGCTGAATATCCCGTAGATTGTAAAAAAAAAAAACCAAAAAAAAACCAGCAACAAACCAAATATGTCTTGGAGAAGGTGTAGCCATAATTCCCATTAGTGGGAAAGTTGATGAAACTCTGTCTCACATAAGGACATAGTGCTCAGAAAGGTGGAGGGCCAACAAAAGAGAGGAAGACCCTCAGTGTGATAGATTGGCACAGTGGCTGATCAACATGCTTGACTACAGCAGGGATGGTGAGGATAGCACAGGATGGGGCAGGTATCTGGTTTGCTGCTCATAGAGTCACTTTGAGTCATGGTCTACTCAATGGCACCTAACAATGGTAATAACAGGCTTTCTGGGGCAGATTGCTACATCTTTACCCCACAAAGCAGCTGGTAGGTTTGAATAATTGGCTTTTCAGTTAGCAACTGAGCTGAGAGCGCTTCACCACTGAACCACTCAGGCTCCTTTCATAAAGGACAAAGTTAAAACACAACAAACATGAAAGTGAAATTGGAAGGCATATTGTTATAAATTTTGTATCAAGAGTAAACTGAATTTTCTGGTTTTTACCAAGAGGTTTCCTAAGAAGTTACAGACTTCTGAAACATGGTAAGTTGATGGGTCTAGATATAATGTTCCAATTCCTCTAAGTTCCAGGTTATCTTTAAAATTGCCTATTTTTATTCATAAGGACAGAATGATCAGGCCACTGTGCTTACCAACAGTTTCAGGTAAGAAGAGCAACAAGAAATATTTAAAAATATGAAGAATATATTTGGAATCAATAAGAACGATAATTTGAATAGAGAAATTTTGAGTGTTGAATGAATTTCTCTAAAATCCTAGTTTGTATAATTTCCTCCTTCTGATGAATGATAGTAGTGTAGTAGTAAATATATAATGGTTGATTATGCCACTTGAATGTTTTAGAATTAGATATTTAAACTTTGACTTGATTTTAGTGGTTGCATTGTATTTCATTGCTATGTCATTAAAGTATAAGTCATCCAATTATCCAAATAAATGAAGACAGGGATTGTAAGGATTATTTCCCTTTGGGGGAATCTATATTCACTTACAGGAGAGATGAACCACAATGGAAATTCAAATCTGGTTAAATTTATTTAAATTGATGACTATGAAATGTATAAGATATGTATGGTACACCTGATCAAGTTGTGAAGAATTGCTGGATTCTGGCCTCAGGTGCACGGCTTTGGTAATTAAAAAATGAGAATTTGTAGTGGAAGAGAGGATTTTCTGATACTGCTTATTGCGTCATTTACTGCTGTGTTTAGGCGAAGAAGAAGAGGAGGAGGAAGATAAACTACCCCGAAGAGAAAGTTTGAGACCAAAGAGGAAGCGGACCAGAGATGTTATCAATGAGGATGATCCAGAGCCTGAGCCAGAAGATGAGGAAACGAGGAAGGCGAGAGAAAAGGAGAGGAGAAGGAGGCTGAAGAGAGGCGCGTAAGTTAGTTAACAGAGAGCGTTGTTCAGTCAGAGAATCGTGCACTGTGAGAGGACTGCTCACCTGACGCTCTGTTGGCTTTAAAATTGGTCATTAAAGCTACTTTTGGAAAGACAGGTTTAATTTGATACTCTCCTTTATTCTAGTATATTAGATATATTTTAATAATTAAA